ACAGGGATAATCGGAATGACTGGTTAACGCAGGATCGTTGTTACCAGTTGGTGTTGGTGTTAGAACTAAATTTTTGTTTTGGTGTATATATCTGAAACAATAATATGAATTAATATAGTGAATTTATATAAAATTTTTAAAATTAAATACATACTGTCTGTACTCTTTTGCTTCGGTCGAAGAAACTGAAGGATTTAAACTCTTTGAAACAATAGATTCCATTGTATTCAGATTATATTTATCTTTTTTTATTTTTTCTTTCTCTTCCTTTTCATTTTCATTTACTATAGATTGTTCCTCTTTAGACTTGGCGTTTGGTAGTGAGGCAAACCATTTTTTGACGTTTCCAACATTCATCAAACTGTTTTCCAAATTATAATATAAACATTATGTTAGTAATTACCAATATTTGCAAATGTATCAGTAGACAAACTTACCGAGAAGCTTGTGGAGGAGTTACCCGAACTCTGAATGGACTTACGTCCGCGCTATCGAAAAAAGTGATATTAATAGATTTTATAACAAAAAAAAAAAAACCAGTATCCATTTAAACAAATCATACCCCAATGGAATGTATTTTGTAGTACTTTTCATGTCAAATGCAAACAACTTTTCAAATGATGTGAAAAGCCGCGGACGATAATATTCAATCCAATAGCCAGAATATGGATCCGCTTCGTCGTCTTCGATTTGACGGGCTATGCGAGGAACAAGTTGATATCTTGAAGTATCCTGCTGTTGATCAATTTTTTGTAGAAGAGCATCCTTAGTCCACCAGTGAATGTAACTAATTAATAATTATAAACGATATACGTATTTAATATGTAGTTAAAGTTAAAACAAAGCAGGATCATTAAATATGACTTAAAATTTCTCAAGATATACCTTCTCCGTGGCCTTTTAAAACGAGGATCTTCATTGTGCAAATAATAGTCACTCGTAAGTTCCCATAACATTGGCTTATCTTTTTGTGGTTGGTAATATCCGAGGAAAAGATTAATCGCATCCTGTTTTTCACCATCTATATTTAAGGATATGGAAATTAGTAAGAATTATTGGAAATTATTTCTAAATATATACATCTAGATAGTTACCACAAAGTGTGTTACTATAAAATCTCCTCAAATTTTCTATTAAGTCTCTAGAATGACTGGTGAATTGATTTATCTTGCGGTAAGCATCGATGGTATTGACTAAATTTGATCCACCATATTGAAAAGCAATAGTATCCCCATGATCGTGGTACATGTCAGTGAGCATA